CATTTATCTCTCTTACTTAAAGATTGTTGTTTGTTATTGTTAAGTGCCAACAAAGTAAGTGCAAATAATAAAGACTCTCCAAAAGAGAGATCTGAACTCTGTTCTATTCTGTGCTGTTCTCATCATTCCTGAGACACCTGAGCCCATTGCTGCAAGTCATTGTGTTCATTTCATTGAGATTTCATCCTCTCTTTCACTGAACCCTTCAACTTTCCAAGCATGATGTCCCTTTCCAAGGAATAGTCTCTCCTTGCAATAGGCACAAAGTATATGAGACAAAGCCTCACTACCCTTACTTCCAAGGACCATTCTGGTGTCAGTTTTTCTAAGACCTATCTGGTTGCTTTTTTGACAGTCCATGTAGTAATATTCAACACTTTTTTTCAATACCATAACTCAAAGGCATGGACTGTCATTCTAATTCACGTCCAGCTCTCAGATGTGTAACTGGTGATTGGAAAGACTTGAATTAGGCACAACTTAGTCTTTAAGCTGATATCATTGCTTTTAGAACTTGACAGAGGTCCCTGATAGCCAACTTTCTCAGTAATATGCGTCTGCGGAGCTCCTGACTCTTGGTACCAATGATGTTGATTATGGAATCCAAGCAAGATGAAATCACCGACAATTTAGATCTTTTCTCCATTTATCAGAAGAAGAATCAATGCCTTTGAGTTGTGGTGCTAGAGAAGAGTATTGAACATACCATGGCCTGTTAAAAGAACAAACAAGCTTGTCCTAGAGGATGAAATCAGTTTGCTTTTTGGAGGCAAGGATTTTTAAGCTCTAGTTCACAAACTTTGGGGATGTCACCATGAAGGACTAGCTATTGGACATCATGCTTGGGAGAGTAGAGTGTCAGCTCAGGAGAGGAGAACCCTGGATAAAATGGGTTAACACAGACTGTGGCAATGGAGTCCGATGTGTCTGAGCCGGTAAGATTGACTCAGAATAGGGCAAGGTTCAAAGCCACTGTTCAAGAGGTCACTATGAGTCGTAGTTGACTCAATGGTACATAACAGCAACAATAACATGATATTGCCTATTGGTCCAGTGGTGGATTTTTTGTTTCTTCCTGATTATTTGCCCAATATTCATATGAATATGATGCACTTGAAATTACTATGACTTTTTATAACCATGGCCACTTTGTTCATAAGAGCAAACTTGATAGACTGAATAAACTCAAATAACTGAGCAAGTCAAAATATGCAAATTACTACAGAGTGGTATAAATGATTAATTAGCTTAGTAAATGTCTCAGCAGAAAGGTCTGGAGACATACTTCTGGGGGAGGAAAAAAAATCAGTCAATT